TGTATGTGCATTGTGCAACACCCAATCTAAATCTAGTAATTGAGGATGCTGTTTCTGACATAGTGGAAATTTCCACATTCTTTGATGTGGTGCAGAATTTATACACCTTCTTTGGTGAAAGTGTACGCAGATGGGCCTTTCTCTCATCATTCACATCATTCATCAGAATCTTCTGTCACACTAAAACAACTTTGCCCTACTCGGTGGACATGGAGCTGTCCGGTGCAGTGCAGTTCATTTAGAATGCTATTACAGCCCTCTCCAGCTAAAGAGATAGTTTTGAGGAAGCCAAAGAAACTGCAGTGGCACTTGCAGAAAAGTGGGGAATCGAAGCAAAGTTTACAAATAAAAGAATTAAAAAAGTAAGGCACCAGTTTGATGAGCTGTGCATGGATGAAAGATTATGTAATCCAGAGGAACGCTTTAAAACAACAGTTTTTTATAGATGCTTGGACATTATTATAAACCAGCTGTCAGACCGATTTACAGGAATGATTGCAGTCCTTCATAGATTTCAAATAGTTCAGCCTGCTATGCTCGCTTCTGAATCTGATGACAATCTAACTGCAGCAGCAACAAAACTGCACACATTTTACAAAGAGGATATATCTCTAATATCTCTAGATTTCTCTGGGCAACTTCTGTCATTCCGTTCAGAAGAAATTTGCAGTTGTTCCACTGTAAAGGACCATGTTCACCTCCTGCTCGTTGGAAAAGTGCATTGTCATCTACTGTCCCAGATGTTTGCATTGCATTTCTTCTGTCCCTCACTCTTCCAGTAACAGTAGCAACAGCAGAAAGATCATTCTCAAAATTCAAACTAATTAAAAGTTATTTGAGGAGCACAATGTCTTAACATAGACTCTCCGGCCTTGCCTTGTTAGCATAGAAATTGAGAGAGCTAAAAGACTCGACATTTAAAGCCTTGTAGATGACTTTGCTGAAGCAAAAGAAAGGCGTTGTAACTTTTAATGGCAGTAGTAAGTGTGCAGTTTCCAAGTTCCAAGTTTCTAAACACTTTTTCAGTTTTGTTACCAGTTACACCAGCCTTTCTCAACCAGGTGCCTTCTGACTTTCCCCGGGGTGCCTCAAAATATTTGCACAGCATCATGCCTTTCCAGGGTGCAGACAGGCCAGCCAGTCGCTAGCCTCGTGGGAAACAAATAATGCTAAGTGTGGGTTCCATCCAGAGATGGATTCATTGCCTGGGGTCCTGCCTTAAATCCCTATCTGGGATAAGGGTCTAGTATGGTGCCTCAAGAGTTTGCATATTTTTGCATATTTTTAAAGGGTGCGGCACTGCTGTGGCTGAAAAGAGGTTTAGAAATACTGAGGTACACTAACTTGCATGCTTGTTTATAATATTGGATACGGTTCAAGCCAAAAACACTTCTGGAGGCTCTCCTTTTTTCTTTTGTCGCAGCGGCACCCTTGTCGGGACCTTGCAGCACCTGTTTAGAGCATGTATGGGAGCTTACTGCACTAGTATCGGCGTACTGGTATCTGTGCATACCTAATTATATATGTTTTTCTCTAGCCGTGCTGCTTCAATGACAGCCCAGCTTGCACATAACCAGAGGGGCCCGGGGGCAATTGCCTCCCTGCCCCCCCAGTCCGCCCCTGGGCTCAGTGACACCCCTAGATCAAAAAAGAGCTCCCTTTAACATCAAGAAGGAACCTTTGCAAGCCTTACTTGAGGAAGAGCCCTATCCAGATCTTGCTTATGTTTCATTCTCTGGACTCTGCTAGAACTCACAAAAACAAGGACTTGTTAAACACTCTGTTTAATTCCTTTTTATTTTACTGTTATTGTCATCTCTCTCTCTCTCTCTCTCTCTCTCTCTCTCTCTC